TGGAATGCTTAAGGACACTCTCTGGTCACCTTTTCCTGACCACAGCTCACAACCCCAGGTCTCCTAGCACAGTCTGGAGAGGTCAGGGCCCCTCTGCCCACTCATGCCCTCTGCTTTGGATTCCAGCAATGACATTGCCCTCATCAAGCTCGCAGAGCCTGTGGAGCTGAGTGACACCATCCAGGTGGCCTGCCTGCCAGAGAAGGACTCCGTGCTGCCTCAGGACTTCCCCTGCCTTGTCACTGGCTGGGGTCGCCTCTGGAGTGAGTACAGACCCAGGGGAAATCCCCAGAGGCTTCTTGGAGGAAGCAGCTCTCAATCAGCAGCCACACACACCTCTCTTCCTCTCTGCCTGAACATTTTCACCTCTTTTTGAAGTGTACAATAATAACTGCTAATATTTATTAAGCACATACTATGTGACAGATGTTAACAAATGCATGTAATCAGTGCAGGAAGGATTAAATAGATTTGTTTAAGGCAGGGCTTGGAGTCTTGTAAGTGAAAATAAGCCCACTAAATAAGCCATGTGGAGGTGGGGAATCAAATCTTATGGTATACCCCATGCCCAAATAGAATGCAGCTGAATTAAAAGAGTAAATGCAGGGGCTAGGCATGGCTCAGTGCAGAGCGCTGGCCTAGCATGTATGAGGTACTGGGTTCCAACCTGAGTACCCCATAACAAATAAAATTAAGGTATTCTGTCCATCTACTACTAATACAAAAAAAGGTCTTTATAAAAATTTTTAAAAAGAAAAAATTAAATGCAAATAAATGAAACTATGGAAAACAGATTCAGAACATTACTTAGGACACCTTGGTGTAAGATTGATCCTTAAATATTTAACCCCAAAGTCAGACCGACAGGGAAAGGAGTGAGGATTCAACCCCCAGAATCCCCATGAAAGACAATTCAATCTGGGCACGGTAGCAGGAAGGTCACAAGTTCAAGGTTAGTCTAGCAACCTACCCATTCCCAAATTAAAAATAGAAAGGGCAGCCAGGCGCAGAGGCATACCCATAATCCCAGAAGCTCCAGAGGCTGAGGCAAGAGGATCACGAGTTCAAAGCCAGCCTCAGCAATGCCCAGGTGCCAATCAACTCAGTGAGACCCTGTGTCTAAATAAATTACAAAACAGGGCTGGGATGTGGCTCAGTGGTCTAAGGCCCCTGAATTCCATCCCTCTGATTTCCATCCCCCATACAAAAAAAAAATTACAAAGGGTTGGAGATAAAGCTCAGGGGTAGAGCACACCGGGGTCTAAACTTCAGCATAAACACACACACACACACACACACACACACACACACACACACACACACACACAATGTTTGTAATTTGAATTAAAAAAAAAAAAAACAGACAACTCAGCACACAGCTGTGTCTTGAGGCTCTGAGTGTAGCCCCTGCACCCCTTCCCCACCTTCTAGCAGATCCTTGGCTGACTGAGGGCGGTACCCTGTCCCAGGGCTCTGGTCCCCGCCAACCTGGGCCAGGATGGACACAGGGCTGCCTGGCTGCCTGGCTGCTCCCTGCTCACTGCCCGCTCCCTCCCTCCCCAGCCAATGGCCCCATCGCTGACGAGCTACAGCAGGGCCTGCAGCCCGTGGTGGGCTATGCCACGTGCTCCAAATGGGACTGGTGGAGCTACATGGTGACGAAATCCATGGTGTGTGCCGGGGGCGACGGCATCATCTCCTCCTGCAACGTGAGTGTCCAGACCCCACACAGGCCCT